AAGGTCGGACGGCTATACTGTCGTTTCGTCCCCGACCAGCAGCACACCACCGCCTCCCATGAATATTCATCCTATGCGTACTCGGGCAAAAGATGGTATTTTTAAATCAAAAACCCTTTTTTAATGTAAGTGTTATTGCTCCCCCGATGATCCAACTTGTTTTACATAGGCTAATAAGAGTATAGTTTGACGGGCAGCCATGGCTGATGAATTTAATGCTTTAATTGCTAATGGTACTTGGGAATTGGTACCCTGGGATCATACTAAAAATGTGGTCGGTTGTAAGTGGATTTATGAGACAAAATATCTTTCTGATGGGTCTATTGAGCGACATAAAGCTCGGTTAGTAGCTGAGGGTTTTAAAAAAAGGCCGACATTGATTTCACTGAAACTTTTAGTCCTGTTGCCAAACCCACCATTGTTCACTTTGTTCTGTCAGTTGTTGTTTCTTTGGGGTGGTCAATTAGGCAACTTGAAGTGAAAAATGCTTTCTTGCATGGTCATTTGACTGAAGAGGTCTATATGCGTCAACCGCAAGGTTTTGTTCATCCCACTTTTCCTACACGTGTTTGTTGTTTGCGTAAGGCCTTGTATGGTCTTAAACAAGCTCCTAGAGCCTGGTTTCATCGCTTCAGTCGTTTTTTATTGAGTCATGGTTTTTCTCAGAGCAAGTCTGATTCATCTATGTTTATTTATCGTTCGCAGGCCACTGTTGTTTATATTCTGTTATATGTGGATTATGATCACAGGCTCTTCTCCTTCTTTTGTTACCTCTGTTATTCACACTCTGCCTCGCAAGTTTGCTATGAAGGATTTGGGAGACATTCATTATTTTTTGGGGTATACAAGCCCGCCGAACACCTCGCGGCTTGTTTTGCTGTCACAAGAAAAATATGTTTCGGATCTTTTACATCGTTTTCATCTCCATACCGTAAAGTCGGTACGTACTCCACTTCCCTCACGCACCTCTCCCTCACAGATGGGGAACTTTTATCTTATGCTACTGAGTATCGCAGCATGGTAGGGGCTCTACAATACTTAGTTATAACTAGACCTAATATTACATATGTTGTTCATCTGGTATCTCAGTTTATGCATGATCCACGTACTACTCATTTATTGGCCGTGAAGAGAATTAACACGTATTTACAAGGCACCTCTAGTCATGGCCTCTGGCTGAAATCAGACAAAAATGTTTCTGCCATTATGGCATATTCTGATGCAGATTGGGCTGGGTGTCCAGACAGCTCACGCTCCACTACTGGCTATGCCGTGTTCCTTGGCTCTAATTTAATATCCCGACGTTCCAAGAAGCAATCCACGGTATCAAAATCCTCTACTGAAGCTGAGTACAGGGTCATTGTTTATACTGTTCAGGATACACTTTTTGTTCGTGCTCTCTTGGTCGATATGGGCAATTTTATATCTACTCATGTTCAGATTTATTGTGATAATGTATCTGCATCATATTTAGCGGTGAATCTCATTCAGCATGACCGAAGCAAGCATATCAAGATTGACTATCACTTTGTTCGGGAACGCGTGGCGCATGGTGACTTGGTTGTCAAACACATTCCTACTCAGTTATAGTTAGCTGATATATTATTTACTAAGAATTTATCTAGTCAGCGGTTGAGTTTTTGCGTTCCAATCGACACGTTTTTCCCCTGCACAGATTGAGGGGGTGTAATAATGTAATTATGGGGATTACTTTGTAATTTACAGAACTCTATTCTATTATAAATATAACCTCAACGCACCCAATAGGGTACGACATAATTTCCCAAAATTCTATTGTTTGTATAATTCCTAATCCGGAGTACCACCATTGGTTAAAAATTGACCAAACTATTTGTTCATGGATTTTTGCTACTTTGTCCCGAGATATTCTCATGGAGGTCCATGACCTCAAGGTATCAGCTCGTGTTTGGAAATGTCTCTGGATGCGCTTTATGTCGGCTTGTTTGGATCGGTCCATGGAGCTTAAAAGGCTCCTCTCGCATGTTAAGAAGAAAGAAAATCAAACCATGGACCAATATCTCTTGGAAATTAAGGTTATGGCGGACAACTTAAATTTGATTAATTCTCCGGTTAGTAATAAGGATTTGATTGAATACACTATTTCGGGTCTTGGTCCTGAATATGATTCTTTAATTACGGCAGTGACATATTTTCCCGGAGATGCCACACTTGAAACTTTACGTCCCATTTTGCTTGCACAAGAACAGAGAAATATTTATCTCCGCTCCCAGGACCTTCTACCTACTCATCAAGCATTTGTAGCTCGTGGTGGCCCTGCGGACTGAGGGGGTGCCCGCGGACAGGGTAACAGACAACATGGAAATCGCGGCCAGCGAGGTGGCCGAGGTCACGGACAGAGGGGGCGGCCGCGGGGTCGTGGGTTTGGTGGTCAATTTCAGAATGAGTATGGCAATTATCCAAATCACTTTGGCCCCAATTTCACGGCCAACGGCTTCAATATGGCCAACCACATTATAGACCTCCATGTGGATAGACCTCCACGTGGACCGGTTCAGTCTGGAAATCCAGGTGCACTTTTAAGTAATTTTCGTATGATTATTCATACTTTAATCATTTATCTTCTTGCGATACTCATAGTGTTGGTGCAAGTTTTCCATCTGTGTACAATAATTTTTCCAATTCTCCACACCCAACTTGTTTGCCAAATCTGTTTCCCGCCAGGTCATTCTGCTCTTAATTCTCACTAGTCCCTTGGGTGAGACAAATGCCTCTGTGTGGTATCCTGACTCAGGTACCTCTCCTCACATGACCCCTCATAAAGGTATTTTATCTAGTAAATCTCCTTATACTGGCTCTAATAATGTGCAAGTTGCTAATGGTACTAAATTACTTATTTTTCATGTTGGTAACGTTAAAATTAATACATTTGGCCGTCCGCTAGCGTTAAACTCCGTTTATCATGTCCCACACCTTAAATATAATTTATTATCTATTCATAAATTGTGTGCAGATAATGATTGTACGGTGATTTTTAATAAAAATTACAAATATGTCATCTACTATATATTATTACCTTCTTCTTCTTCAAGAAGAATCAGAGCGTTACTTACACAAATCCATGAATTCTGTTGCAATGTATTGAAATCAAACCAATAATACTAAAATTTAATCAATCCCAAACTTATTTATCTTCCAATAATGATTCCATTGCTTTCATAGAAAACCAATAACCAAAAGAAGAAGGTTAAAGGGTCAAATAGGCCATTGTATCTGTACGGAAAGCTCAATTTACTCTCTGAACTCAAAAAACTTCAATTGACACCTTGAACTTGATAAAAACATTCAAATTTCACTTTTTGCAGGTCATGATCTAGTCATTCCAAGTCATCTAGTAAGGGGTCAAATAAGTCTTTGAACCCGATCGAGCATTCAATTTACCTCCTCAACCCTAAAAAATGTCAAAAAAATCGAAAAAATAACTATAAAACTAAAAAAAAACAAAAAAAAACTTTGTATAATAAAATCCATGTCATAAATATAAAAAGTACTATCTTCGTCTTGTTTAAAGGTTTCCATGGCAAAATGACACGATTATTTAGAAAATTATTAAATATGCTAATTCAATAATTATATTTTGAGAAATAATTTTGATGAGTATATAATATAATGAGTTATTGATGATAATTGTAATATGATAAATGTATTACTTTTAGTATTTGATGATTAAATTGTTATTAAGAGTGTTGATTGTTTCCTAAAATAGAAAGTGGAAACCTTTAAGTAGAACGTCCAAAAAAGAAAAGTAGGAACCTTTAAATGGGACGGAGGGAGTATATATGAAATATTTATAGTTTGCAGTAAATTCAAAATAAAAAGTATAAAATAAACTAAAAAATCTTTAAATTTATTTCCATATTTTAGAACTACTACGTATATATTTAATATAAGAAATAAACAATGTACTTTTATCAACTATACTTAAATCTTTATTTTATGTATTATATGTAATGGTTTGTAATATAACACAAATTTGATTTTTGGTTTGATAATCTACATGAAGCATTATGTTTACATTATCCATTTGTTTTTTGTTTTCATTTCAGATTTTTAAATTTATTTAAAAATATAATAAAAATATACTCGTATTATTTTTATGTAACTATATTTTTTCAAAGTTACTAATTACACTTTTTTTATATCTATGGTAATATAAAAATTACTTTGTATATAAGAAATTAAATACAAAAAAAGCAACTACATATTTATATAATTTATTATTAATTTTTACCCGAAAAAAAACCACCGGAGAAGGTGGAGCAAACGTCGGGTGCGTTTGCTGATTATCATTAATGATAGAAGAAATTAAATACAAAGTGGAATAGTGGGACCAAGTCACCAAACCGAGACCCATTCCGTGACAAGCCATGGGAAAAATTATAATCTAATAAAAGGAGTCCCAAATCATCTAAACAAGCCCTTTTAACAGTCGGGGGTAGATCATTAAGTGAGTGAAAACATTTGAAAGAACCATTTTCTGAATCTAAATGGGCCAGTTGGTGTGCTGGCCTCCCTGTGACTCTGTGAGTGTGGCAGAAAACAAGCCCGTGATTGATCCTGGCCCATTGGAGACGATTCGTCAACCCACTCCATCTGCTTTGTTTTGCGCCCTTCTTCACGTACGTATTATATATACGAAGTACTACGTACTCCATACTAATTATGTGTACTTTAATATAAAGTGAACTAATACATATACAATCATGTGTGTGGAAGCGAGCAAAGAGTTGTGCTAGATGTACGTGCACCAACAATTTTTCATGATCAAAACACTTCTCATATAAAATAAAATATATAAAAAGAGTTTATACAGTATGTAAATTGATTTATGTTGTACTTGTGCCCAACATGGGCTACGTTAATACGTGACTACGTAGGTCATGTACGTTGTTCGTAGTATATATATCCAATAATCCAAATTAGGAAGTATATATAATTAATCTAACTACTCGTCCACAAAACGAAACTAACGTAAATGTCTTCTTCGGGCGTAGGTATTGACAACCTCCAGTCACCGCTCCTCCATGATGCGGCGGCAGTCGACGACGGCTGTTCTAACACTGAGAAGCTAACCGTGGACGGCGCTTTGCAAAAATACTGCGGCGAGTTCGGGTGGTGGCAGTTCAGGCACTTCGTGCTGGCCAGCATGGCGTGGGCCCTAGAGGGAATCCACACCATGGTCATGGTCTTCGCCGACCGCGACCCCGGCTGGCGTTGCTCTTCTCTCTCCACCGCCTGCTCGGCGGCCGGGAACGTCTGCGGGCTCGCTCCGGGCACGTGGGAGTGGGAAGGGAGCTCCTCAGTTGCCGAGTTTGGGCTGATATGTGATCAGAAATATCGGGTTGGGCTTGTCCAGTCTCTGTTTTTCGTGGGCTGTATGATCGGTATGTCGTCGTCCTTAATTTCATCGACCTATTATTGCTACCTTTTTTGTGCATGACATTAAAAGTTAAAACTCCCCCCAAAAATTGGACTCCATTCTAGTTAAATAAAAAGTGTTATTGCATAATTAATCATGCATGATACATTGCATATCATTTACAAGTACTACATGGTCGATATCATGCATATCAGAATTCCTCATTAATTTATACATAGACGTTTGTTTGTGTTTTATTTTAACATATCGTTTACATTATGTAACAAGTTAATTATGTAAAAAATCATAAAACAACCACTACATATAGCAAATTGTTTCTAAAAACCGAATGAATATAATGAAAGTATGATTTGGATCAGAGGAATCAGAACTGATATGGCAAGTAAGCAAGTTAGTTCGAGTGGGCAAAGTGAATGATGAAAATTCAATTCGAGTGGACGATTAATCTTTTTTCGATCTCTCCACTTTTTTTTTGTTTTATCATTTATCTTTTTTATCTTTATATGTTCTTGTGTTTTTATCTTCTAACTTTTTACGCTCTTTTATCTTTTTATCTTTTATCTTTCTTATATTCTTATGTTATTGTTATCTTATACGATAAGTCGATAATATTTATTATCTTTATCTTATCGTTTAATCTTTTTTTTCTTCTTGTATGTCTTCTCCTTTTTGTATCGATATCATGGATCAATTTATGTTAGCCGATCTCAAAATATTTTGATATTAATGTTTGAATGTATATGAATCGGAAGTATTTCAAACGAGTGAGGACAGAAAAGGCATGTTATACATTTTTGTGTACATTTGAGCATTTAATATTAGTAAGTGGCTGCAGGTGAAAAATGAATGGGGTACAAGAAAGATAGCCTAATTAAGTTTGTTGATTCGATGTAAAAATGTGATGGGTCAATTTTACATAAGGGTTAACAATACTCACTTGTCACTTTGATACACACACACATGGTTACATTTCAAATTGTCCACGCCAATATCTGAAGGGGTGTATGCACGACTAAAAATGGTCTAGAAAAAGCATAGTCCATGTCCTCCAAATCCAATATAGGATATCTACGTTGATTGTCAAAAAGGACACCAAAAATAATCAACATAGACTTTGCTCGCTTATTTCTTCTCCATTGCTTGTTACGTTTAATTTATTTATATTTAATTCATTTCTCCACAATACCCAGCATTGTATTTTTCTTTATTTCTAACATAGTAAAATACATAAATTGTAAATAAATATATAGAGGCTTTTTCCAATATATATGTGTATATATAATTCGATTCACATAAGATCATGGTCTAAGGAGAAAAATAAAAATAATTTTAGAGTACATTAAAAATCACATTAATTGTGCAATTTGTGCATTATGTGATACCGAATGTGCACTATCCATAACTTGTACTACGGAGTAGTAAATTTTTATACGTACATTCTTGAAATTGAGATGTACAAATACCACACTTATCCTTTTAATCTAAACCTCTCAATCTTTATCATAAGCGGTTATCACTTAAAAATCAGCAAGAACTTCAATCTCTTCCATATCATCATTAGTTACCCAATCTAGTCTTGCTATAATAATATATACGGAGTATAATATATTTCCTTTCTTGATCCGATATCACTTTTTCTAGCTTGCATTCTAAAGTTTATGAGTATCCAATTTTTTTTTTAAAATAATAATGCCTTTTTTTTAAAATAATAATGCTTTAATTGAAGTAGGACTCAACCAAGATCAGATCTTGTCTCAAAAACTTTATAGTGATACTTATGTTACTAATTATGTATTTATTGTAGAACTAATTAATATATTGGGATGGGCTTAGTTGGGGTTGATGGGTCGGGATGAGTCATGATGGGCTGGGCCAATGGGTGGATGAAAATTGTGGTATTTGGCGCCAAACTTACGTACTTGTTGCGTTGTATTTCCCGATCTTTATTTCTCTAAAAAATTTGGTTGAAATTTGGTATGGGTAAGATACTCAAAAAATTATATCAAAAAATTCCACCGGGAACCGCCCCAATTGGCGACGGCCGGACAGAACCTCCTATATAAAAGGCTAAGTGAACACTTTAAGCTGGTTCAAGGGCCTATTTGACCCTTTAACCTTTTTCTATTTTTTTTCATATCCTTTTTCATTCTTTTTCATCTTCTCTCCTACTTTTTCTATATGGTTCTTTATTCTATTATTTTTTCTTGAATATTATGTCTAACCCTATTGTAGCAAATGCTAGAATACAGGAGTGCAATTTTTGTTGTAGTTTTAGGCTACGACCAAGCAAAACATGTTATTATGACCACAGTATTTTTGTCAAAAAATAAAAATACTTTATTCAAAACTCAAATGTCCAATTGTGGGAATTAATATACTTAAAACTAACTGATGGAGTATATGGCCCAAAGACCCCCGGCCCACACACTCCTACTTCTCCTATACAGGCTCAATGGACACAATAAGCACACAAGGTCCAGATACGACGACCCGAGCCTAGAGAAGCACATGGTACACATATGGGTGCTCTCGGCATCATGGCCGAGGGCTCGAGATTCCAAGAAACAGCTAATGTTGGACCTGCGAAGCTGCTGAGAGATTTTGGCTAAAATGGCAGCCTTCGGCCAACCAGGGTGCCCTCGGCACACACCCCTAGCCTTCGGCCATATGGTATAGGGGCCGAAGAGTCTTCCCTCAGCGAAGATTCCTTCTGGAGACAAGCAACCACTGCATTCAATGTGACGTCACGTCCAACCACCGCATTTAATGTGGTGCCACATGCGAATGTCGGTGCTAGCCCGATTGAGATGACCCTCCACCGTCGGATGTTTGACACGTGTACGCGCATAGCATTTAATACATTTGACTTTCTCCCTCTTACTTGTTTGCTCCGAATTCTCTCTAGATATTTCTTATAATATCCCTCAGATAAGCTATCCTTGGGTACACAATCCATCACTAACTCATAAATCACTAAAGACATGAAGATTGAATTTCCTAGTATGAAAAGAAACTTTATTTTACTCAACATACCGTGTCTCGCATAGATCTCGAAAAAAATGTTATGAAAACAATTGCTCTGATCACATACCCGAGCGGGATATATAGTGTATTTAAAGTTACTGAAAAAGTCGTGTTTAGGCTAGGATGTTAGCCCCAAACCTACAAAATGGGCATGTGATTAAATTAAATCCATTATCCCTCCTTCAGTAACACGAAGTGGATGGATATTTGATTATGCATGTAGCGGCCAGCATGGTGGACGTTATAAATAATTTGATCCACTTGTGAATCTCTTCTTCTTAGATATGATATGATCTTTTTTGTTATTTCAGGAGCTGGGGTGTTTGGTCACCTATCAGACTCAAGAATGGGAAGGAAAGGCTCATTAACTTTGGTTTGCATTATGAACGCCATCTTTGGAGTTGCAACTGCATTCTCACCCAACTATTGGGTCTACGCCATCCTCCGTCTTCTCTCCGGTTTTAGCATTGGCGGAACCGGTCTTTGCGCCTTTGTTCTATCCACAGAGCCCATCGGTCCAACCAACCGTGGCCTTGTCGGCATGTCCACCTTCTACTTCTTCTCCGCTGGGATAGTGCTTCTGTCAGCCATAGCCTACCACTTCCAAACGTCGTGGAGAGCTCTCTACATTGCTTCATCTATCCCGTCCATTCTTTATGTTTTTCTTGTACTCCCCTTCCTCGAAGAATCCCCTCGTTGGTGTCTCATTCAAGGGAGGGCGGAGCAAGCCATAAAAATAATGCAAAAGATTGCAAATTCAAACGGAAAACACCTCCCGGAAAGCGTCCTGCTTGTCCTCGACAATCCCGAAAATTTACTGCAATTATCCAGCTGCTTATCCTTCACTGAGGTTCTCCAATCTCCTCTCACCCGTCTCCGCTTGTTGCTAGCCGTTACAATTAACTTCATTTCTTCCACTGTGTACTACGGGTTGAGCCTGAACGTCATTAACCTCAAAGGGGCCAACCAGATTTATCTGAATGTTGCCCTGAATGCCGTGGCTGAAATACCGGCATGTTTCTTGGCGGCGATGTGGCTTGACAAACTCGGAAGAAAGCCTTTGACAATTGGGACACAATGGTTCAGTGCGGTTTTCTGCGTCACCGGCAGTCTGATGAACGGTTACGGGGTGCCGCGATGGACCACAATGATTTGTGGAGTTCTCGGGATTTTTGGGATTGCAGGAACTTACAACTTACTGTTCGTCTTCACGATGGAGTTGTTCCCGACGGCTGCGAGGAACGTGGCACTTGGTTGCGTCACACAGGCAGCACAATTGGGGGCCATTTTGGTGCCGTATATTGTGCATCTTGGTGGTGGTGGCAGCATTCCTTATTTGGTGTTCGGAATTTGTGGGTTTGCTGGAGGGTTGCTCACCTACTTCTTGCCAGAGACATTAAACAGACCGTTGTATGATACAGTCGATGGGATGGAAGAAGGAGAAGGTGATGATCGTTGTGCATGAATTCTTGCACATGTGAATGACCATCCATCATTATCATATCCAATAGTAAAATGAGAAAAGTGCTTAAACCAGAGTATAACATTATGCCAATAATCCAAAAGAGACCCTTAATTTTAACGAAGTAAAAAAAAGTTCGGATTTACTATCAGGTCCACAGTAAACATAGGGATACACAGAAATCAGACCAAAAAGAAAACATACCGTTTTGCATCAAAATGTTAATACGTATTGAATTCGAGTTGAATGAAGAATCAAGGATTAGACAATTGAACCTCAATTTAGATATAACACATGTAAGAAACGGTGTTTCTTAATCAAGCTTCCATGGACCATCAGAAATGCCAATATATAATCGATGGATATCTTCAACCTTATTCCACAACAAAATCTACTGGCTGCCAAATGTACGCCTGTTGAAATTGCCATTATAAGCTCCACCGTTGTTTAGAGGGGGAGGAGGGTCTCTTGGTCTTGCATACTCCGCAAAAATAACCCATCCATCCAGAAACTACAAAAAACAGGAATGGCACTGGTAACTGGTAAGGATAACTTATCAGAATTATTATAAAAATGCATATACAATACGTTTTTAAAATAAATATCCAAAATATGCGTAAAAATGTCATTTCATTTTACCAAAGAACTAAATAACTTCTTACCCACTTTCTTACCAAATTAATTCAGTCAGGCTCTAAATAATCCGTAGTAGAAGTTAGTTCTGGTGAACAATTCGACTTCAAGTCTAATGATAAAATACCAGCACTACTAGTCTACCACTCTACCTCATTGTTTGTTTAATTCGACTTCTTGCCCATTATTTTTCTACACATTTTTAAACCTTGAAGAGAAATACCAAATGTGAAAAACTGAGTTCTCCACTCTCTATTTTGTATAAGTTACTATAAACAAGTTACTAGTGTTAACTATGATCTTAACACCACTAACTTTTTTCCTTTTTCATGTTCTTACATATGCTTATCTCAAACCGAACTTAAGAATCTACCACTTTCTATTCCCTTGAACTTCTTTCCTTCCGACTCTACATACTACATCCTTAAGGTGCAATGAAAAATAGGTAGAAATACATATCATGATTGGAGTAATGGAGTCCATATGTATAGAGCATATTTAACTTGGGCCCGTCTTTGGTTATACTTTCCTTCTACAGCTCCTTTCTACCCCAGAAACATAAGGTTAACATTTATGAATCGTGTTGTCAAAGTTCTATATTAAAACACAGTGAAGTAGTAAACGTCAAAATGGGAATATTTACATGTGCATGTTCAGGGTGGGGATTGAGGAATGCATAAGCCCGCAAAATAAACATAACTAATCCAACAAGTAATAAGAATGAAGGGAATGTTCATCTCAACTCACCTTGCCATCCATGCCTTTGATACCGGCTTCAGCTCCTTCCAGAGTTGAGTATCTAACAAAACCAAACCCCTTTGAAAACCCAGATACTCGATCAGTCACTACTTTAGCTACAACCAGAAAGAGAATTAGTTAATTATACTCCTTAGTGTCTTCTCATTGTGATGAATATCTTAGATTTCTAACTAAATTCTAAGGGTGTTAAGATCCTGAAAACGCTAGGGAATGAGGACAAACTGCCAATGAAAGGTGCTTTCTTAACCAGGGTTTTATATTGGAAAATGAAATATGATTTTTTTTTAGAATTACATATATTTAGGCTTCTTAGCTTCCATATAAATTATAATAGACATAAATATACAAAGCGGGTATCATCAAATGTCTAAGATGAATTTATAAACTCATAGCCTACCTCTACCCTCTCCCACAATTCCTTTCTTTTCAACTTTCATCTGTTTCCTCTTGCCTATTCTACTTCTTTAGTATTTTCCGGGATCCCAACAGACCATTAAAGTGTGGATATGGAACACACCTTGAAGCACCTCACCAAATTCTTCAAAAGCCGCTTTAAGCCCATCTGATGTTGTGCGCTTGCTAAGACCTTCACGCGAGAGAAAAAGTTAACCTACCCCTCCAACAATTTTATGAGAACCAAACATCACACCATACAATATTTCTTCAAAAATTATGCAAGATAAATCTAAGTCCTAAGAAGTTAAGAGGAAATTAAAGATGCCCATCAACATATTGAGGCAGAACCATTGCATATTTGCATCTGCAATTCATAAATCAGAGCATATCTACAGAACTACGGAGTACATAGTTTAATAGTAATCATATAGCTAAATCTAAAGAGATACATGACTATTCAAAATTTCAAGCATTCATTTAATTTTAAAATTAAAACTTTAAAAAGGGGAAGGCGTCAAATTTTCAACCCTTCAACAAAAGAATATATAAGAAACTAAGGAAATCAAATCACTCAGCTACAAGAACAATAACTTAACAGTTAATACTACAGAATCTACACTATCAGTAAACTGTCCTAATAAAAGCATGTTTTAAACCTCATAAAGTCAAAATTTATATGCCAAAATCATATCTTTATTTCATCTGTTTAAATTCCAAATTCTATGAAAAAGAAATAAACTTCTGAGCTACTGGAATTCCCAGGAAAAAAAGAATGGCCCTGATGCAGTCACACAGACGACTGACTTCAAGAATCTAAGCATAGAAATCGAAAAAAAGGTGTACCTATAATGTAAAAAATAAGATAAGATCTTCAAGATGTGAGAATAATACGAGGGAAATTGTATGGCATACCTGAAACGAAGAGATTGGTAGACGGCTCAGCGGGAGGTGGCTGTTCAACATGTGTCTGCGGTGGATTGAACGGAAAACTTGATGAAAAAGTCGAGAATAGAGCTCTAAGGCCTCGAGGAGCTGCCGTGGTTGTTGCCGCCGCTGCTCTCAACGCCATTTTGGGGTTTAAGTGCGTATACCCACGAGGGTTCTAACGAAACCAAAATGAAAGGGGAACACGTATTTAAGATAAGAAATGGGGAAATCAACTTTTCAATTTTGTAATTGTCATTTCCATTATAAAAATAAAACAAGGGTACAAACTTCTAACAAACCCACACCACCAATGATATACGAACAGGCCGGTTTGTAGTTCTACTCTGTATGTTTTACTTGTTATATTTAAAGTAGTTTAAGTGTGTGAATTATTTAATATGGAATATTTACTTAAGTACTATATATGATCACTTTTAAACTTGTGAATATAACATTCGGACAAGCAACATAAAGTATATATTTTCTAAATAATTTTAGAGAAGTATTTCTTGATTTTATTAGCTATTTGAATTACTATACGTAAGTACTAATGATAAAAGTATTGAAGTTATATTTTTTTTGAAAAGTCTTACTCTTGGTCTGACACTCTGAAATCTTTTTAGAACACTATTATTCTTCTGTTAAGAATCGGGTCTCTTCGGTGATCTCATTCTTTCTGTTCAGCTAGCTTCTGTCAGGGATTGGTACGTGTAGCTTCGGTGATTACGTTTCCATATCCTTTCTGGGTAATGTGGGTACACACTCGAGACTGTATTCCTTACGGTTAGTATGCCACTGTCTAGATCCAGTTTCTTGAGTTAAAGGTTAAGTAAATTAATCTGTCTGATTAATGATACATTTTTACAACATGAATTATCTGATAATTGGATATCTGAACTTGTTCTATCTTTATATGAATAAACTGAAATGTACTAGTATGTAAGAAGTTGTTCTGTTCATCTTATTCTTATTACTTATTGTTTATTCTTATTTTATTCAGATCAGATCAGAAAAATTTAAATTAGATCAGATCAGATCAGATCAGAAAGATTCAGATCAGATCAGACCAGAATCATTCAGATCAGATCAGAAAGATTCAGATCAGATCAGACCAGATCAGAAAGATTCAGATCAGATCAGAAGCATTCAGATGAGATCAGAAAATTTCAAACATGATTTATCACTTTTATTATTATAAAATAATAAAAATAATAATAATAATTATTATTATTATTATTATGATTGTTAATATTATGATTATTATTGAGGTGATGATTATTATGATTATTATTATTATTATTATTATTATTAGTATTAGTATTATTTCCGTTGTTATTATTATTATTATTATTGTTATTGTTTTTATTATTGCTATTATTACTATTATCATTACTATTATTACTATTTTTACTATTATAATTATTATTTTTATTAGCTTTATGATTATTATTATTATAATTACTCCATATTATTATTATAATTATTATTATTATTATTATTATTATTATTATTATTATTATTATTATTTATTTTTAT